ATATTGGCACTGGCTGTGTTCTGAAATGATAACAACTTGTATGTTTGATATTGTCTCTGGCTGTGTTCTGAAATGATAACAACTTTCATGTTTGATATTGTCTCTGGCTGTGTTCTAAGATATAGAAACTGCTGTGTTTGATATTAATTGTATGTTAGTCATTCTCCTGTGTCAAAGAATTATGAAAATTTTCTACACATGTTCACACACAGAGTTAACGTTCATTTGCTACAGCCGAAACCTAGCTTCTATTGGAATGTGGTTTTCTTATAAAAGGGTCAAGCGCTGCAATTTGTAGTCAATATTACAATCGATGTGATACTGAGTATAAATGAAAAAGAACTTTTGATAAGTTGGTGTAACCCAAATGGGGTAAAAGGACTTACTTCTGATAAGCTGGTGTAACCCACTCGGGGTAAAATGACTTCTGATAAGCTGATGTAACCCACATGGGGTAAAAGGACTTACTTCTGATAAGTTGGTGTAACCCACATGTGGTAAAAGGACTTCTGATAAGCTGGTGTAACCCACATGGGGTAAAAAGACTTACTTCTGATAAGCTGGTGTAACCCACATGGGGGAAAAGGACTTCTGATAAGCTGGTGTAACCCACATGGGGTAAAATGACTTACATTTGATAAACTGATGTAACCTATATGGGGTAATAAAACTTACTTCTGATAAGCTGGTATAACCCACATGGGGTAAAAGGACTTCTGATAAGCTGATGTAACCTACATGGGGTAATAAAACTTACTTCTGATAAGCTGATGCAACCCACATGGGGTAAAATGACTTACTTCTGATAAGCTGGTGTAACACATATGGGGTAATAAAACTTACTTCTGATAAGCTGATGTAACCCACATGGGGTAAAATGACTTACTTCTGATAAGCTGGTGTAACCCACATGGGGTAAAAGGACTTACTTCTGATAAGCTGGTGTAACCCACATGGGGTAAAAAAAACTTACTTCTGATAAGCTGGTGTAACCCACATGGGGGAAAAGGACTTCTGATAAGCTGGTGTAACCCATATGGGGTAAAATGACTTACTTCTGATAAGCTGATGTAACCTATATGGGGTAAAAGGACTTCTGATAAGCTGATGTAACCTACATGGGGTAATAAAACTTACTTCTGATAAGCTGATGTAACCCACATGAGGTAAAATGACTTACTTCTGATAAGCTGGTGTAACCTGTATGGGGTAAAAAGACTTACTTCTGATAAGCTGGTGTAACCCACATGGGATAAAAAGACTTCTGATAAGCTGGTGTAACCCACATGGGGTAAAAGGACTTACTTCTGATAAGCTGGTGTAACCCACATGGGGTAAAAGGACTTACTTCTGATAAGCTGGTGTAACCCACATGGGGTTTTCTGCAGCCTCCTTTGCATGTCTTAATATAGCCTCTCTTGGGTTACTGTCATCTGCTTTTCTTTTAGCAATACTGGATACGATATAAGATGTCAAAGTTCCTCCTATAGCAGCAACACGCCCGCCCTTACCTGTAAAGTAAGATATTCAATGAGTTCAAAAATTTCTCAATTCAAAGACATACGTGTACATTGTATGCTTAATCTTTGGAAAGATTGCAACAATAATTGAGTGTCAATTTGGCATGCTTAAACTCCCACTATATAATCATTTTTGTAGCTCTGGTGACTTCTAACATAATAATAAATGACCCAAAGTGGCATATTGAATGAGGAGTTGATTCTATGCAAGTTTACATGTAGTAGAAAAACACTTCAAACGACAAATGAATGATTAAAGCACGGTAGTCGTCGCGCCACACATGTGCCAGATATATGGGACTCATATAAACAAAGATGGAGACTTTGACTGTAGCGCAGATCAACGAGTACAAACTGAGACGTTTCAAAGCTTTAATTAGGTCATTTTTAGCTGATTGAACTGTATCGAAGGAGTCGCCGGTGGTATTCAGTGCAAGTCGCGCCCAGGTCAAACTTCATACTTGTGATTTTCATTTGAAGAGCACATTGGATTGTGGGAAAATCAATGTTTATCAATACAAATGCCGCACATGCGCAGCGTGACGACTGCCGCACTTAAAACTAGATACAATGTTTAGATGACATTTTTGATTTCAGTTCACTTATATTATTGTTTTTTTATTTTTAAGTCACAAACCGTGTACATCGAAAATTTAGCATGAATTTTTGTTCAAATGCAGGGTTAAGGGCAATGGAATTCAATACTCATTCGGATAGATGGTAACAATGACATTATGTCCATATATGGGCAATGAAAGGTTTTATGAAATGTGAAATGAGTTTTAATGTTTACTGCTTACAATTATAGTATTGTGATATACTTTATTTTCACATACTTGTCTTACAATTATAGTATTGTGATATACTTTATTTTCACATACTTGTCTTACAATTATAGTATTGTGATATACTTTATTTTCACATACTTGTCTTAACAAAAACATTCTTGCCTATTCTCATATTACATGTACCGTACTTATCCGGGTAAGAGCCCATGCCTGGGCAAACGCCCACCCCCCCACTTTTGACACAATAAAGAAGTTGAGGTCATGTCCGGGCACACGCCCAGGGGGTCTTTTTCTACACACACAAAAAAACAAAACCAAAACTATTTTTTTTCGTTGACTGTGGTTGTATTAAAAGTTGAATTGTTAATTGCGTAAACAAGGGGAGATTTTAATTTTTAAAAAATTAATATTAAAGCTAAAACGGTAGTTCTCTTTTTGAAATATGTTGTGGCCCTAAAAAGGGCTGGCCGTTTAGTTTGTGCTTCATTAGAAACGATTCTGGCAAATCGTATCCGGAGAGTCGCTAAGCAAGTGTCGCACTCGCTCGGCTTTTGCGCCGTCGACAATGGAACCAATGTAGCAACCCGTACCTGGGAGAGTGGTTGAAATCTCGATATTTTGGCTTTATAAAATATTATGTAGCAGCTTGCGAATCCATAACTGGGGCCGGCAATTTTGCAATGTCACGCCCAAGACTGCCAACTTTTTTATCATCTTTTATCACCGCTATTGCATTTCTATCATGAAAACTATTCTTCTGTCGTTGGATAAAAAAAACACTTCCTATTTCAAGCGTTGAGTCTGATAAGAAAGCAATGTCACGATTTAACCTTTATGATGAAATACTAGTAGTGATGTCATTCTTAGCCAATCAGTAAAGCAGATGCATAAAGGTCAAAGATGATTGCTAGACTGTAAACAAAAGCATTGTGTGCCATCGCAGCAGAACGACCCCATTTTTCTTTTCTCTTTATTATGATTAGACATGAATGAAAGTGCCAAGCTGACAGACTGCGAAATTAAAAGAGGATTAAAAGTGCTAAGTCCAAATTGTGTGGGACGATATCGACGAACTTCAGGAATAAGTTGTAGGGATTTTGTTCGACGGCTACAGTGACGCTGACTTGGAATTTGAGGGTTTTGAGTTTGACGAAGATGGCAATGGACGTTCAAATAAAGATCTGAGGAGTTTTTTCAAACAGCTATGAATTTTTATAATTTTTACTGTGTAAATTTGTAAATTATTATTGATCTTGTGTGACGGTTGATTCGGAATTTGTCGAGACCGGAAATCATTTTACGCAGTTTAACCCCTGACATTTTAATTCATTTTGAGTTCATGCGTATCGGGCGTGTTTGACGGTGGGAAAATCCTAATTCAAATGATTCCTCACTGTCGATTTTTATTATTTCTGGTTTATTTGTCACATTAATACATTATTTTTGTTTTACTTCTAGTGTTGCATATTGTTTATTTATTTCCGTTGCATGTTTTCATTTGCCGTTCTATTCCCTGCCGCAGTTCGATCTGCGTGTTATCAATTTTCGTTTTTTTTGCCGGGGATCTCCTGGCAAATGCCCACCCCTTCTTTTTGGCAATTTTCCATTTTCAGGACCCTGGGCTTATTTATACCCGGATAAATACGGTATTATAATTTTCATTTTGAAAAGTTACTTTTTGTGTTTGAAATGTATCAGGTTTTAGTTGAGTGTCAATGAACGTGATAAATAAATAAAAGAAATTGTTGTCCAAGAAGTAAGCCATACCCAGTCATATATTGTAAATCTGTGTTGTTTTCTCAGATTGCGACACAAGTTAAATTCTGTACTTACCACTGGTGATTGGCAGATCTGGTCTGTGTGATCTGACAGGATCCTTGCGGTCTTTGTCTAGCTGCTTTCTTGCTAGTTTACCAGTCATGTTACTATCTCTGAATAGTGGCAGAGCATGAGCTGCCAAATACATAATGAACAATATTATGATATATGATACTAAGCAGCAGCCAATAGGATCCACAAAACAAGACAGTGTGTCAAAGAAATGGTTTGCACATTTACATTCTATGTATGGATGATAAGTTCTTCACGTTGCATGCAACTTTTCCAGGGAAATGAGATCTTCAGAGCATGCCTAGCATACATGCTTTTGAAAGTTGAATTATCTATCTATCATTGAAAATACTAAATTATGATAATTATAAAACAATATCAATGGTTTATTGTGTTTAAGAGGACAAACATGGCTGCCAAATGAACAAAGTTAACAAAACCAAAAACATCACTTCAGATGAGCTCAATATATTTTGTTATTGTACACCAATTCAGATTAGTACGTTATATATTTATAAATTGTACAAACTACACCACTCCAGATAATCTAATTGTACACAATACACTAACTCTGTGCATACACTGTATGTACCATATATCATTCTGATTGGTCTTTGAAACAACTATAAACAAAGCAAGTCATTGTCAAAGACATAGTATCCATTCAGTTTTTAGTGACTGTGTCAATTAAAACCAATGAAAGATAGATAGATAATTTATAATTAATTGTGGAAGGATTATTAGCCAAGTTAAAATATGGTGTTACTTCAAAAGGCATTTTATCCTTGTTTTGTTTAGTGGCAAATTGCATAGCATTAACCAGTTGGACATTTTGCATCAAAGCACAAAACAAAACATCATGTACCAACTTTGAATAAAATCAGCATATGCATTCCTGAGAAGATGATATATTCAAATTCAAATTTTCAGTTGGGTTAATTAAACTTGTTTAACTCTGTTTTTGAATAAAAAAATTCATGAATTTTATGTTTCACAAAGCCTAAATAAAGAGAATTCAATGAAATGTATTCTTACATAGTTGCAGCAAATTATGCAATTCATACAATAGAAGATTACTCACGTGTGATGATGTGTTGATTAACAACAAACTCCATTTGTTTCACTCTGTTCTGTTTCTTAGCAACGCATAACTTAGCTCCACTTAAAAAAAAGAAAAATGGAAATTGTCATAGTCTCTATCTGAAACATTTTCCAGTTGATGGAACCATGTTAGGAGATTCATACTTACTTGTAACTTTTTTCAGGATTGTAATAAACTTTGGTCTCCCCATTAGCACATCCAACTATGATTTGATTCAACCTTGGATGCCATAGACATCGAATAACACTCTGTAGATAGAACAGTGTATTGACAAATCAAGATACGACACTGAGGTTCATGTTTTCAATATAATTGAGAGCAACGAATGATGACCCCTCCCCCTCACTAGTAAGACTAATATTACAAATATTTTTATGAAAACAGCCACAGACGTAAAACATTACATTCTATTCCTTGTTCAACTTACTGACTGATTGACAGGCAAGATGGCTACTTTCTCCAATGTTTGGCGATTAAAGAACATTAATTTGCCTGCTCCTGCATTCTTTTTTACTGATGTTCCAGTAACAACTAATTTATCATCTGGACTAAATAGACAGTCAGTCCTGAAAAAAAAAATCAGAATTGAGAATTACAAGATGTAATAAACACCAAGATCACACCACATCGCTCCTAATCCAAATTTTTCAGGATAACTGATGAATCCCTCCAAAAAAAATGTATGTCATGTAGACTGACTTGCACCTCCTGTGTGAAGCATTAGATTGAAGGGGAAGCAGCATTAGTATAAGGCCAAAAAATAATTGTTTTGTTGCCCACAGCAACCGACTGAAGAATAAGAAATATCGGGTCGCGTTCTTTTTTTTTTTTTTTTAATAGGCCCAAATATTAAAAACTCACTATTTTAAGCAGTAAAAAAGTGTTTCCTCTAAACATTAACGATTCCGGACCGTTGTCTGATCCCCAGGGTCCCCAGAGGGATAAGTGGGGACTTTGAAACTCGGGTTGATCTGTATTTAAATACAAAAGACTGAAAGAAACATTTTGATCTAGCATGCATTTATGATTAGTTTTCACGAGTTTAAAAAGAAAAAAAAAAATTTGATCGACCGACCAACCCAATTTTCCGACTTGAGGGCAACGTAAGTTCAATGTCTAATGTCTCACTGTTACGCAATACTGTGTTTGATTGAGACTCAGTCACATGACATGGATAACGTCACTGAAACTACTGTACTGTGCAATGATACTGAGCATTTGTCGTTCTTTGCACTGCTGATGTCTGCACTTTAATTTGCTTTCCGGGTTGATTTCAAGGTTTTGAAGGAACATTAGTCATCCAAAATAGAAATTAAGTAAGATACTCTGTTTTGATGTTTAGGATATTCTTTATGTGAAGCAAATATGTTTCTACGGCAAAGCTGCCACTGAAATGTCACATCCGGGATCACTGCGGCGCGTTCTACACGTGCCATTTTAATGCTCACCAAGAATGCTCTAAGCTCTAACAACTGTGAATGCAGATAGAAGGTGTGGGATGTTTGTGAGAAAGTCATTGCAGTCACTTTACCAGCGTTCTGAAATTTTTATCTGGTGAGTGGAAAAGTCCTCAATTCATTCCGACAATTTTTATACTTGGTAAATTCACACCATTGAAAGTAACATTTAATGTGTATTTTGCAGTTATTTTCAGCAAACAATACATGTACTATTATGTACATTGGACCCATACACATTGCAATGCAAACATGTAGTATGGAAACCATATTGAATATAAGCATATACTTAACTACGAATAGTATGGAACCCATATTGATATAAGCATATATCTAACTATGCATAGTATGGAATCCATATTGAATATAAGCATATACTTAACTATGCACAGTATGGAATCCATATTGAATATAAGCATATATCTAGCTATGCATAGTATGGAATCCATATTGAATATAAGCATATATCTAACTATGCATAGTATGGAATCCATATTGAATATAAGCATATACTTAACTATGCATAGTATGGAATCCATATTGAATATAAGCATATACTTAACTATGCATAGTATGGAATCCATATTGAATATAAGCATATACTTAACTATGAATAGTATGG